CAAGCAAGGGCAGGTTGCGCCTCGCATCCTCTTCCTACGTTATTTCATTTGCTCTCGCTCTCCTTGTGGTTCAATTAGGAATATATATATGTCTCGTGTTTGCTTCTTTCTTCTCGAGTTATATCTCTTTCTTTTTGTTTAGATGAGTATATAAAAATATACATTTAAGAAAATTCCTTTCCGTTCCCCCCCCCCGTGAGGGAGCATGGCTCACGACCCCTGTTTTTTTTTATGCCTTAACACTGAAGCACCATTGAAATGTTAGAAGAGTTGCACTTGTTTATTTGCGTTCCTGCGTTGTCGCTCCCCATGATGGAAGAAGTCTGTTCTTAGCCACAAAACGAACCCGCGCCGCTGAGTGCGGCGTGCCTGCGTGCAAGTGGGTCTCTCTCTCTCTCTACTCTCGCTCTGGGCACGCATCCGCCCCGCCCCAACGCTCCCGCACTCCCTCACTCTCCCTCTCTCTCCCGCTCACGGCCTTACCTGTCCACTTTGCCTCCGTCCCTTTCTCTCATTGTTGTTTTGCTGCTCACCGTTTCATGTTTTTTTTCCTTCTATCCGTTCCTCAGAAATCGAAGCCCGCATTCGGTTGGTTCGCCGTGGCGTCGCCAAAATCCATCGAGGTATCAAACGCACCGTTCGGGGCGCCATCCTCCAAGTTGAAGTACGTCTCAAGAATTGAAAGAGCCATGCTGTAGAGATTGGTGTCCGTATAGGACTGTATGCGCTCAATGGAGTCTACACCACCGCATTCCAAGACAGCATCCGCCACCACGTTCCTTTCAAACATCCCTGCCTTGTAATCGTCCTCGCCGAGTTGGAGAAACCCCAGGAGGGCCTCCAGCGCGACTGTCAGAATCCTTGACTCATGCGTTGTCAAGACAGCACACAAGGGAGTAATAACACCGCATTGTAGAAGGTACCGCAGATGGGGGGCAACGCCACAAAGGGTGATGTTGGCGATTGCCCAAACAGCCTCCTTTCTCACATCGAGTTCGTTACTGACGAGGCAGTTGGAGATCACCACGGGGAATATTTCAGAGGCAATGAGCGCATCAATCTGGAATGGATTCCCAGCGGCGATGTTGGAGATGGTCCAGCAGGTTTCTTTCCTGATTTCACGCCTAGGGTGCATTAGGAGAGGCCCAAGTAGCGGCAGAACCCCGTGGTTGATGAGAATTTGCGTCTGTGAATCATCACCACTCGCAATGTTGCCGACAGTGCGAATGCCGGAGGTCTGGAGAGGGGTTACAGAGCAGGAAAGAAATTCCACCACGCGAGGAACCACGCCTGAGTCTATCACAGCTTGCACTCGCTCTGCAGGACCGTCACTTATGTAGGAAATTGCCCACGCGGCGTCTATCACGATCTCCTTTTCCTCATGGTGAAGAAGTTTGCTTAAGGTTGGAAGGGCAATTGACACTTGCTCCAAGGGCGGGGAGGGTTTCCCGCGAGTGAGGTTAGATAGAGCCCATACGGCATTGCGAAGAACGCCGGCTGGCTGCTCGGGATCGGAGAGGAGAGCGAGAAGGGCCGGTAAGGCACCGTTCTGCAGCAGCAGGTCACGACAGTAGACCCCCTCCCCAGCAATATTGCCTAAGCCCCATGCCCCTTGATCGCGGCAGTCCGCGTGCTCGGACCCCAAAAGAGCCACAAATCGAGGGATTGCGCCGGCCTTAACGATGAAAATTGTACTCGCTGTGGTGCCTGCTGCGACATTGGTCAGGGCCCAGGCAGCCTCAAACTGCAGTCGCGGAGCCTCAAAGCGGTCCATGAGGTTCAAAAGGTATGGAATCACACCGCTCTGATTCACCTCATCATGCGGCGGATCCTTCTCCACGGCGAGAATCTTGCGAAGCATAAGGACGCCCTGATACACCTCCGCATCCGACTGTCCCTCCATCACCATACGAACGAATTCGGGCAGCAACTCTCGTGGAACATTCTCCGGGGTCGTGTCGATGTTAAATGACCAGGCGTTTACTGGTTCCCCATCTTCGGTGGTTGGCAAACCGGCAACGCCACTCGTGTGGTCTTCGCGGACGTGTTTCATGACTTCCCCATGGGCCTTTTGCCGCACACTGATCATCTGCCGCTGGCGTCGTTCTGCCCCTGCCTTCACGGAGGGCGTCTGTTTTGCGCCCTTCGGCTTATCACTTTGGCCACTGAACATCTCTTGCCTTATCTCTTTCTTCAGGCTCCAGACCCGGTCGAAGAAGCAAAAGCAACAAGGAAAACAAAACTAAAAAGTAGCAAACAAAAAAGAACTGCTTCTCCGCTCAACGTCGACTCCCTAGAAGGACTTTCCTAATTACTGCTACCGCCTCGTGCACGCGGAAAAATGTCCGCCTTATTACGTTGTTAAGTTTTCGTGTCTTTTTTAATTTTTGTTGTTGTGAGGGGTGGGGGTTGTTTTTGTTTACCCTGCGATGAATGCTGCTGGCAACCCCCCGCCGTGTCGACGGCGCAGAACCCAAGTGAAGCGTTGGCGAGTCAAGAAAAAAAAAGATATTACGCGTCAGCAAAACAAAAATTTTAAAAAAACGAGGAAATGAGGGAGTAAAGTGATGCAGAGAGGTGCGCGCAGATGCAAGATACGAAGTTCTTCTCCCCCGCGCCGTCATCCCCACGCTGTGCTCGTAGTCCCATCGTCGCACGGCAGCAACGAGACCCTCCGCCGTGGCAGCCGCAGCCACAGGAAGCGATGGAAAAAGGACAACAAACAAGACGCTCCTCCATCTCCACTCCCGTCGGTAACGCCTTTACACACACACACACACACACATACATACATACCTAGACTCTGTTACCTCGAAGTCATTCAACGCGGCCTTGCAAGGCCCTCTGCCAATCCTCCGGCTGCAGTGAATGCTCCTTTGCACAGAAGGTGCAGCGAAAGCTTGTCTCATGCACGAGGCGCTGCAGCTCTTCCCTTGGAAGCGTCATCACGGACCGCAGAAAATTTTCTTTCGAGCAGCGACAAAAGTAATCAACTCCGTTACGCACTACTGCCGCGGGGTCAAGCGGCACTCGAAAGTCATTTATCCCAAGTTTGCGTCGTAACGTTTCAATCGTTGGCGCTGCTAAATCGGGATCCTGCGTGTACTGTCGCGCGGCCGTCGCCACTGCATACGCCCCCTCGTGGTCCCCAGAGAAGAGCGCAAGGCTGTCTTGGCACGCTAGCCCCTTCTCTACCGCCCGGTGGTTAAGCTCGCAGAACACCTCTGGGGTAGCAATAGAAGCGCCAAAAACAGCCTGCTGCAGCCGCTGAACGTCCCGCTCCACCGCCCCTCCTGAGACCATCGGCTGAAGAAGAAGCCCGTACGAGAGTCCCGCGCGTTCCAAGGCGGCCTCGAGTTTGGTTTCCGCCTCGACAAAACTACTGTCAGCAGCGTGCGTGGTGGCTGTTTCCACACACGACGCAAGAGCCTGTTGAATGGATGGGGCGTCCAGATGCGCACGACACCAAAGCGTCGAGGTTGACCCCTCGGATTGACGAAAAAAATTGTAGCCATGCAATGAGATGTTATGCCGAAAGTACTCCAGCAACTTTTCACGAGGCATGTTGCCCAGCCCAATACGCAACCATGACATCGCATCAGCGTCACTTAGTTCCCCCACCTCCTCGACGGGGAAGATCAGATCCAAACGCGCTGCTGTCATGGAAGTGAAGGGAGCCCGCCGCCCGTATAGGGCCCGCTCTACTTTGAGCGAGAATGGCGGCCACTGCGCACTGTCGTTGTTCTCGCCACGTACGTAGCATCGGCACTCCCCAAGTGCCAGGGCCTCAGTGACAATAGTCGCCTCATCCGCCGTGAAGCGCGAGGACACGCGCTCCTCTCCCTCCTGCAGCACCGCCAGCAGGTTGGTGAATGACAAATGCGTTCCAAGTAGCTCCAAAAATGGACGATGACCATGTGTGTGTGTGGCCAGCCGATGTCGCCGGATAGTTTCGCGGAGGAGACCCAACGTTGATGCATACGCGAGACGCAGCTTGCCATTCTTCGTGGCCACGCGTAGCGTCATGTCACGCGAACGCAAACGCCGCTCCATTCCCACCGCGGCTGGCGAGGCCTTGGCGGCGCAGCGCGCGGGCCACGTCCGCCGCATCTTCTTACAGCAGGCACAGACCTCTGCGCCTCCCCTCACTTCTATTTACTCCACGGTAGAAGGAACGATGGGCAAAACGATCAACAATCACACACACACACACACACAAAAGAAATACATCTCATCGTCAGGGGCAGTGGTATGAAATATAAAAAGAGCCACCCACTCCGGCACGCCTTACAGGCATCAAAGCCAACACAGGAAGGCACATATTCTAAAGTGAGATCAATGGGAGGACGCCAAAAGTGCCTTCAACTTACGTCACCCACGACCCCGCGCTTCATCCTAAGCAACAGCCAGGCTAACCACAGCAACAACACCACGCAAACACACGCTGACCCGCGAAGCACGTTGCCAAGCTGCGCCATGACCTCCAACACCAACAGCGTGTACCCCAGCTTGGAAAACGATGCATTATCTAAGAGAAAATACAGGAAATCCTTCGCATTGCCTAGGAACCATTCTTCTTGGTGTTTTCGTCGCGTAAAGACTCCGCCGGTGGTGCGAAAGAGACCCCCCGCAACCATGAGCACAGTGACGCAGCGTGCAATGAAGGGCAAGACACCGACATACACAGGCCGCTCGGTCGGAAGGAGAAACGTGAGGGCCACAAGAAGAAGGTAAGTGGCCACAGCCAAGGAGTACCCCATGTGATACCCCCGCACTAAATAGACGATGTTAACGCGGTGCAACTCGCAGTCAACGATCCCCGCAAAATGACCCAGTGTCGAGCCGACTGTCAGTGAGTGTTTCGCTTTCATCGACATTTTTCGTTGTTTTGTTGGCTTACCTCCTTCGTTCTCGTGTTTTTCTTCGTTAAAATTGTTTTCTTACAGTATGAGCCCCGCCAAGGAACCCCCTCTGCCAGTGTGGGGGGATAATGGGGGACAAAGAGGGGGAAAAAAAACAGACAATGGAAAGTGACAAAAAAACAAAGCAGTAAACACGATAACACAATCGCCAATGGCTCCTTCGCACTGCAAGCATTCGTGTTGTGCCGCCCACCACGCACAGGTGGTCTCTGCAAGAAGATGAGGTGGGAACGAAGAGAGGCATTTACTGTGGTTCCCCCCCCCACCACCACCACCACCGCGTCGTGGGTGGGGGGAACTCCTTGTCACGCACCGGTGTGCAGCAGGGGCCCACTCAGCTCCGCCCACTCAATTCGCTACGCATTGCGCTCACCATGCTGTTGTACCGCCTCACGTCCGCCATTTCCTGCCACTTTGCCTCCAACATCCTACCGCCCTCCTTCACGCGGTATTCCTCGTAGTTCGGGTAAATGGGCTTAAGCCGTTTGTACTGCGCGTAGTTGGCCCAACTAACAAAGAGGAAGCAGAGTGAAAAATACCACGTATATGGCCGGGTGCGGCAACTGTGCTTTAAATCAAATGTGCGAACATATCGCGCTGCCCGCAGTGCAACAGATGGCATTGCCTCGTTTTCGCTTTCTTGAAATGCAGGTAGGTATAGATGTAACCTAGGTGTATCCCAACAAACATTGCCAGGAGCAACCAAAAAGCAGAAGAAAAAGAGGCACATAAAAAGGCATATATATATATATATATGTATATATGTATATATATGCAGGAAAAGAAGTTATAGGAGTGGTAACAGTATAATGACTGACGTATATAAGCATAAATAGGTATGCATGTATGCTTATCCGCACACATATGTGTTTCCATGGGTGCATGCATTCTCTCATTGGTGTATTATACCGAAAGATTGAAGTGACACAAACAAGGCGGGGCCTCGATAATTGGAATCGCCCTTGACAGCAGAAAGCACTTTGCAATTCTTTTTTTTTTTAAAGTAAAATTAAAAGGAATATATATATATATATATATATATATATCTTCGCCTCACATACCCTGCTGACAGCAGCGAGAAATCCCGCATTTTGATGCAAATATGACCGTCTCACGCCGTAGTATCACTTTGCCTTCATCCTATCCCCCTTTCGTCCCTCCGTGCATCTTCTGTCCTCTCCCTCTTACTTTCAAACCTGTGAAATGTATGCCGCCTTCAGAGGGTAAAGAAGCCCTGAGTGTATTCCTTGTAGTCCGGCGGTGTGCTGTCCAGCCAGTCCATCGCGTTCACTGGCATAAGTCCCATCCAACTCAACTTCACTAAAGCCACTGAGAACGCCAGCAGGCAGGACGCAACGTACATCAGCTTGGACTGACTAAGGGCGCTCCGTATGTTCGCATCCTTCTTAGCCTCCTCTTCAAAGTCTTTGAAAACGTCACCCGTGCCAAAGATGCTCTGCAGAGGGTTCACCACAGCCATGCCTACAAACATTATGGTGAAAATGCCAACGTCATTGCCAACCATCCACATCAGGAAGAGTGTCATGGGCAACGACTTCAAGGGCTGCATACGGAGGTCGCTCAGGATCCGAAGGGTGCGGGCACGCTGCATGTCACCCTCGCTGAGTTTGGAATTCCCCTTCGCCATCCCTTCGCGTCGCAAATCGCCCCTTGTTTGCTTGTTTGTTTGCTTGTTTGTTTTTCTTCGCTCCTGCAATTTTCCCCCACACACCGCGGGCGGGCAGTCAAAGCGAAGTGAAGCAAGCAAATCCAGCGGTGCGCACGGACACGCAAGCGAAAAGAAAAAGCCTCAGATGGGGCAGTCTGTTAGAAGAATTACAACAACACGCACCCCTCCCACGAAGGCGATGTGCACGAGGCGCACACAACACGCCCGGTGTGTGTGAGAGAGGGGGGGGGGGGGAGCAGACTTCATTGAGAACACTACTGGACGGGGATGCGAAAGTACTGCCCACGCGCCCCTGCTACTCTTCGGGGACTATCCCCGTTGCTACCACCCGCGTACTCGACAGTTCAACGTACGAGAAAATGCAATGAACCACGCAAAAAAAAAAAAGCAGGCATTTTCCCTCCCACTAGGTCCTCACCCTCCCCAGAACCCGTTACTGAACCCTCGCCACCCCGGCACACTAACCGCAGGCCTCGCTGCTGTTTTTGCTTCCTCTACCCCCGCGTCTTCGTCACTTCAACTAGAACGGTCCAAAGCGCTTGTTGTCCGGCACGTCAGCCAAGTTGCTCGCATAGTTATACTTCTTGGGGCCTACTATAAACCAATAGAACAAAAACCCTATGAAACCGCCAATGTACCGGGCAGTCTTAAAATCCGACACCATGATGGCGTCATCGATACTATTGCGAAACCTCCAGCGACCGTACTTTCTCACGTTGCAGATGTTGTTCGCCCATGACCCAAAGCAAAGCACACATCCCGCGCACATGGCAAGAGACGCAGCGATTCCATACACGCTATGAAACTCCCGGAGTGCTGACTGCGTCGGAGCCGAGACGAGTGCCACTGCAGACACTCTGCAACGCGACACGGCGGTTGGCCCAAACCGGCGGATCATTGCTGCCTCAATATTTTTATTTCCAAGCTGCGTCCCCTAGAAACAACCTTCCCTGCGACGGTTTCTGCGGCTTCGTCACAACTCCTCTGTGCGTTGGGACGGCCCACTCTTTTACCGTGATGCGGCAATTTCACGCAGCTCCACACAGACACAAAAGCGCAAGAATAAAAAAAGTAATAATTGACAGGGGGTAAAAAGCAACACGTACGTTCACTTCTCAGCAAGAACAGTACATCACAGGAAAGACAAGGTCGACTTTTTCACTCATTCCAAGCCGCTGCACGGACAAACACCTGCGCTCTTTCCTTCGCCTTCCTGACTCCTCTGGCTCCCCGGAGCTGTTTTTCCAACGCACTAAACCACATTCCCCTGCTTTTCTCCTGGTGGGGAATCAAACATGGCAGCCTCATAGTCCTTTGGGTATTGCGACAATTCATGTGCCATCGGCAGCAGCAACGTCTCCACAGCAGACAACGTTGGCCGTCGATTTTTGTCCCCATGTGCCCTGCGTTCGAAGTAGCCCTCCCGCCGCTGAACAGCCAGCCGGAGGTTACGACACACGCGACGCCGTTGATCTGAGGTTAAGCCCGGAATAAAAATGCACGCCTTTGCAATCATGTACTCCCACATCTCTTCTGCCGTTGTTGGGTTCCCTCCTTCTCTTGGCCTCGAGGGCCGAGTTGCTCCTGCCGCCACCGATGTCGTTCGCTCAGCTCCGCTGCATGTTGTTACGGCAAAAAACTCTAGGTTTTTAATTGCCCGACGCCTCGGGGGAGGGACGCGCGACAAAAAATACGACGGGAGCTGTGAAACCGTCGCCATGATTTGCACAAAGTGGAACGAATTCACAAAGCGGGCATCCTTTCGCCGCAGTGTCGTGAAAAGCCCCCAGATAATACGGTCCACAGTATCCCGCTGTGCCTGCCAGGCAGAATATTCCGGGTTTGGACGGAGGATTGACGCGGCGCCGTAAGTGGCGGTATGCGCGGCGGCAGAGTCAGGGTTAGGAGAGGCAGCCATGTGCACGCAATTCGGCTCTCGCTCTTGCTCCAACGAAGAGGAGGAGTGTAGTGGTGGCGGGGGCGTCAGTAAAGGCATAAAGATGCGCAGAAGCCTAAACGCGTGAACGACAGAGGTGAACTTTAGCTCTTTGCCGTTGTGAACAACGTGGCGAAAGAGGGAGGTCACGAGGTAAACCTCACTGGACTGGCACCAGCGTGGCTTTTTCTCCTCAATGAGGGCACGCGCACTCTCATTCGCGTCATCCAACTTTACGGTGGTCAAAAACTCCAACGCATGCAAAGCGTCTTCCGCGGAACCCAAAACCCGGCCAGATTCACCTCTCTCAATAAAAAAGAGGTGGAGACGCTCCACACCGAGGGTGGCAACGCTTCGCCGAAAGGCTCTTAATTCCTCTGTTGTCGGCACCGCAAACTCCACGCTCGTGGCACCAGCACCAGCACCAGCACCATCAACGTCAACGTCGCTGTCGCCTTCGCTAGGCGGCTTAACTTCAGTCGCTTCTTCCAGCCCACTCCTCGTCTTTTTCGGTCGTGTGGGGTGTGTCGCCGCAGGCTTCATAGCTTTTTTTTCCAGGTGGTCCAGCTCCCGAACCATGTAGTGCAGAGCCAACATCATGCTGGTGCAAGGGCAGGTACTCTTTTCACGCGCCACGCACTGAAGTGCAAGTTGCAGGGAGGAGAAGCATAAATGCAAGGCGTCGTCGATGAGCCCAAACCCGGCAACGAACCCAAAGTCCCTCCCCTGCAGGGCGCAGCAGGCCAAGGCGCCATCCACGTTCTCAGCCCAGAATGCCCGAGTGGTTCCGCGAAGACGACGACGGTTATTAGCGTCACGAGCCTCCCCGATCTCCAGTCTCAATCGACGGCACTCTGTTAAAAAATGACTCAAAGAAGTGGCTCTAAGCAAAGTTGACGAACTGGACACGGTGGCCTCGCTAAGAAGGCCGCTTGAAAACTTCACCCGATCACACGCCGCCTCGAGAACACTATCCAATGATTGCAAGATAGTATCCTTCCCTGAGGTAGAGGTCAGTGAGGGTGATGATGCTAACAATGACGACGACGCACTATCACGGGCATGCACCGGCTTATCCGTGTTTGCCTCCAAGATGGCAATCTTCCTCAGCTCCTGCAGGACATGGGCCGACCCGCAACGCGGCCGGTGGCGCCCCCGCAAGAAGCCTCCTGCCCACCTCCGACACAGCATCCTACAACAAACCCCTGAGACTCCTTCCCTGCGGCCTTTCCCCCTGCCCCTTCCCTCCCCCCCCGCCCTCGCGGCCGTCACCTCCCTCCTTGTCGTCGCTACATATCTCCACCCACACCCGTCAAGTGAGGAACAAAGTCATGAAGCAGAGGGAAAGAAGCAAAAAAGGAAAAAAAATAGATAAGGTAAAGAAGGTGACGAAACAATCTCAAAAACCCTCACAAGGGCAACTACTTCGGTTAGACGGAGTGGGAGGGAAGCGACGGGGCGAATGAGAAAAAGAGAGTTCCAGGCACACCAATGGATATGGGCGCACTTCACCGATACTCTCCTCTTCTTCTTGGCGCCATCACAGCACCGAACGCCAGTGAATGATGCCGCCTTTAGAAGAAAGCGCATCATCTCGTGAGATGCGCAGTTTACTCAGTTCTCCCAACGACAACTGCGAGACCAAGGAACCACCCAACATAGATAGCATCCATGGCGACTCCTGCAGCGGAAACGGTTGAAGCTGAAGAAAACCAGCGGCCTCCGAAGAGGAAGATTTAGAAGCATCACTCCTGTCACTCGTAAAGGATGAAGAGGAAGAAGCAGACGACGACGATGAGGCCCCTGCTGCTGCAGATTTGACGCTGCATGCACGCACAGTCTCTTCAAGAAAGTTGCGGAGTAATGGAGCAAGACGTAGCGCCTCCCCTGCCACAATCACAGGCAACGACGCGTCACCCGCGATGGTGGCAATAAGGCGCTTCAAGACGCCTGGTTTGCCCTGAAGGCGGTCGTTCTTTCTTGCGACAGCTGACCCCACGCCCTCGTTAGCCTCGTCACGTCTGCGCTTCCTCCCCGCGCCTCGAGGTTCCTGCGATGACACCACGCGTTGATACACCTCCTCCCCAAAGTAGGAGATGAGCGCCCCGCTGTATTGCTCGTGCAATAAATCCACGACTGCCGCCGCCGGAGAGAAAGAGCCACTTAACGGCAGACGCAGAAGGAGAGACGATGCGTCACTCCCACTCCTCGCTTCTCCGTTAACTGTGCCTTCCTCCGGCATCTCTTCTTCTCTTGCATCCTCGAAGTTCCCAGCATTCCTTCCTACATCCTTTTGTTCATCGCAGCACTCCCCATTCCTTGCTGCGGAGGGTTCCATAAGACGAAGTAATGAACCGGAAGCGGAGACCGCATACTTCACCGTAACGCCAGAGTCTACACGACCAATGGAAAGCGCTCTTAGAGACGCATGAAGGACAATTGAGTCCCGCAGTCCCGCCCCAAACGCGTCGGCCACAAGGTCTGACAGCACTATGATTGTTCTCACCCCTAGCCTCGCAAAGAGAAACATCACAGTTCTTTCCCGGTGTTCGGAGGAAGCATGTGCCGGGATAACAAGAAGGATGTTTCGGTCCAACACGTGCTCGCGAAGCCTTGAAACAAGCTGCAGTACCTTTTTCTGCTTGGGTGAAGCAGCACTTTCTGATAAAGATAAGGAGAGTGCGAGAGTACACCCCAGCACTTCCTCGGAAATGGGGCCGTCCTCGAGGAAAGGGCGGGTCTCGCCAGAGCGGCACAAGTACGTTGCAAGTTCCCCGATCACCAGAACGATCAGCCTTCCATCGGTGTCACCGGCAGCGGTAGTACACTGCGGGGAGGGAGAAGCGACCCCGGTGGAGTTGAACATTAGGCCACGGTGTGAAGTTCAAAGTATGGTATGCCCTGCCCTCTTCACGCCCCTTCTGGCGGTCTTATATGTGTCTGCCTTGGCTTCCCCCCCTCCCTTTTCGTGCCTGGGTACCAAGAAGAATGGCAAATGCAAAATATCAATAACAGCGGCAGGAAAAGCGGGACTGGGGAATAAGTAAAGAATGTGGCACCCCAGGGCATGTCGCTGGCAGAAGCACCGAAGTGGACAATCTTGGGTGTCAAGCGTGTTGCCCAGTCCATGCCACATTGGGTGAAGGCACCTGCAGACCCGCGCAGGAGAACGATTGCTCCCCTCTCTTTCTTTCGCTCTCTCCCTTTCCACGTCTGAGACCGGAGAAGAGATGGTTCAGTTATATATATACATATATATATATATATATATGTATATATGTATATATGTGTAGTAAAAAAAATTCTTACATTCAATTAACAACAAATACCACACGCGTCGAAGTCCGCTTCAAGAGGGGGGCAACAAAAAAAAAGACAAAAAAAACGTTACAAAGCACTACCATGAGCAACCCCACCCACCAGCCAAAATGGGATGAGAGCCGGCGGCAAGGCTTCTCCACCCCCTACCCCATGCATATTACAGAGAACGAGGGAGTAGGGAGGGAAACATGCATTTCTCACCCTGGTTCAACTTCATTTGACTTTTTTCGCTTCCTCGGCTGCCGCTTCCGTCTTTGCCTTTTGCAGTTTTTTCGTTCGTTGCACGTCAAGATATGTCGTGGCGGCGCGAATTACAAAGAATGTGACAGCAAAAACTAAAAAACTGTGTTTTTGGTACCAGGGCCTTTGCTTCACTTCTGGGCGTGGGACCAATGCGCTGTCAGGAGCAAGATAGCCGTACACCCAAACGCGATCCACGGCGGTTTCTCCCATGCGGAGCTGTAACGTAAGAGAGAATTCGTGGTCGGAAAAAAAACGCAATGTGAAACTGCCTGAACCCCCTCCTTCCAACGCGACGACCCCTGTCGCTGTTCGTGCCATCGCAGGGACATCACTGAGTGTGGAGGGTGACAGGCTCTTTGCTTCATGAACAAATGAAAAGGACGCCGTAGCCGTAGGAGTCGCATCAACTTCTTCTACCTCAGACAGTCGCTGCTCAAGCAGCCTCTCTTCAGCCGGTAGCGACCACGCACTGACCGTCCCAACGGTTGAACCCGAAAACTCAAGCCGAATGTCAATACTTAACAGAGATGGGTGCGCCTCAAGTGTTCCATGCGGTGGCGCCTCCGTCTCCATCGGAAGTGGGTATTTAAAATGATCTAGTGGCACTTGCTCTGCAGTTGCCCTGCGTTGCTCACCAGTAGGAATCAATTCCCCGTGGATATGTTCAGGAAAGTTTGGTGAACCCTTTAAGGTGAGTGTTGCGTTGAAGACGCCATACCTGCTGGAGATAACGCTGACCTTAAAGGGCTGTGCGATCACCTGCTCAAGTAGCGGCATGTTGGATGCCACATCCGGCTCGTAATCCCCTGCCACCACAGGGGCCGCTGAAAAGAGGGACGCAACAGTGCAGCAGAGCAGCAGAAAACCAGCCCATCCAGTGTAGCACATTTTGTAATTATCGTTACGCTGTTGTTGTGTGTGTGTTGTTTTTTTTTTAAATGCGGACTCCGTTAATTGGTATCTGCCCTCGTTTGACCTGCGCCGTCCGCGAAAAAAAGAGAGATGAATGTGGGGGGAAAACAAAAAAAAAAGGAAAAAAAACGAACAAAAATGGAAGCATGAATCAAAAGCCACGCAGCCTGCGCAAGAAGTGCAAGGAGATAATACAAGCCAGAAAGGGTCAAGCCTCGCCCTGTAAGTACGGCAATCTGATGCGACAGACGTGTGGAAACACACGCTTCTCTTTATGTATCCCGTTCGCTCTCCATTACCCAGACCGAAGTGCTGTATACACACATTGGAGAGGGAAAGGGGAAAAAAGCTATAAATAAATAGGGAAAACAACGAAACAGAAAAGGGGCACCGAGGAGAGCAAAGGAGTCAAGGCACATGTCCAGTCCTCACCGCGCTGACGCCCGACGCCTCAGTGAGAAACCCCCAACAGTTAATTTACACGCATCTCATACGTTTCAGTTTCACTCTTCTTTCCTTCACTTCCTCCCGGAAGGAGGCCGAGAGGAAGCAGTGAAACCACCGCACTGCGTCCCCCATGCATTTCAACTTCCTCGGTGTTTTCGCAGTACGGGGGCAGACACCCTCCGTACTGCCCAGCGTGCTACCCGCGGCGAGGCCTCGCCAGAGTGGAGAGACAGAGAAACAGGACGCAGAGGAGGCATTAACAACAACAAAGAGGCGAAGGTTGCTTGCTTCGGTGACGCAGAAAGAATGAAATGTCGCACCTGCCAGAGGGTGTGGAGGATAAAGGTGCGCCAATTCGACCTGTTGATAATGGGCACGAAAAAAATTCCAGTGACCGCAACCCACTTTAGTGCCAGAGGCATCGCCAGCGGAAAGGGAAGTACCAAAGTGACGGAAGCTAATAGCCCGCCTGCACAGCTCCTCCATCACTTGTGGAGCCTGTGGGGGAAAATGGGAAGGTTTTGGCGTCGGCGCTTCCAAGGCGACGCCCAGCAACAGCAACCACTAGCAGTAGTAGTGAGAGTAACCAACAGAATCATGGACTAGTCATTATGAGCAAAGAGTGGGGGGACGCGACAGGGCAGAAAGAACAGCAAAGAGACAACCAAGCGTCAGTCTACACCCTCCGATACTCAGTCTCTTCCTTTAGTAGGTAGGCGTCAAGAGAGGGGGGGGGGGGAAACGACAAGGGGAGGCTCAAAAGCTCCCGCCTTGGCCCCTTTTGTTTGGTTCTTGTTTTTTGTTTGTTCTTGTGAATAAGAAGCGAAAGGTGGACTCAGGACAACGCAAGTAGCGACAGAGATCATAAACGCATGTACGCCCACTGGCATCAGTCGTATCAACTAGTGTCGATTGAAGGTAGATAGAGAGAGAAGAAAGAGTAGAAGATACTAGATGAAGCGTTGAAGTGGCAGCGTTAGAAAATAATTTATTCCATGCAAGACGTTAAAATCCGGTTGACGCACACACACACACACACACAGGTACGTATGCGTCTACACACACTACCCTCATATATAGTTGCTAGAGTTTTGTTTTCCTCTTCTCCTTTTGTTATTGCCTTCTTTATTGATTGCTCATTTTCCTTGGCTCATTTTTATTGTCGTTTTTAATTTGCGGGTATTTCTCTAATGGTCCGCTAAGAAAATACCGGGTGGTTCGCTGCAAGCGGTGCGTGCCGCCTGCGAACTCCATTCCGTGCTGTTTTCTCCAGAAGGAGGCCCTTGCGAGGTGGCAGGCCCAGACGTGCACGCACCTTTCGCACAGACAAAAAAAAAGAAGAGGGGTGTCAGCGACGACGCCTCGCCCTCGCTCTGGTAGATGGACGCTTTTGCTTCTCCGTCACCGTTCTTTCTATTCCGTTTGCTCACTCGCTAGTTTCTTCTGCAGCTTTCTCGCTTTACTTATTCATCCTTTATCCTTCCCCTCTGGAAACAAAAAAGAAAAAGAAAAAAGAAAAAAAGTGTATATTTTTTC